AAAACCACATTGCAAGAATTAGACAAAGTGCAAAATCAAGCACACAGAGTTACCACAGGCAGTATGAAATCAACACCTATAGCTGTGATGGAGAAAATGGGGATGACCCAAGCACTAAGTGAACGCAGAGACACCAAGATGCTTTTACAAGCAGAAAAGTTTCTTAGTATGCCCAGTCACCCTATGAATGAAAGATTAAAAAATTTAGCATTGGGACGACTAAAGAGAAGTAGTTTTATCCACCAGGCCAAACGGCTTGGCAGACAAACCACTGATTTACCTGCAACAGATAGATCCTTAAATGCTGTCCCAGAACGGACCCCCTGGAGAGAGGAGTATAAGTTTCCAATACACATCAAGACTGAAGTGAAAGGGGTATTTGACAAGGAAGAACAAAACAGTGTGCAGCGCAAAACAGCCACCCTCAGTTTACTTGATGATGAATACCCGCAGAACCTTTGGGTCCGTGTTTACACAGATGGGTCAGCAGAAAGCGCAGTCAGAAACGGAGGTGCGGGAGTGTACATTGAGTATCCTAATAATACCAGGGATACAGCCAAATTACCAACGGGAAAGCACTGTCACAACTATGATGCAGAAGTTCAAGCCATCAAGATAGCGGTAGAGAAACTACTAAATACAGGGTATTTTTGACAACCAGTGGTATTCCTGACAGATGCAAAAGCAGTACTTCAGTCACTCCAGTCTGGAAAATTACCAAGCATACGGACACTATTATCCGAACTAGGCAACCGCTGTAAATTAGTAATGCAGTGGATATCTTCCCACTGTGGAGTTCCCGGAAACGAAAAAGCTGATAAACTAGCTAAGGAAGGTGCAACTGAAGAACAACCTGACATACCAGTCTCTTATCAACAGAAGAAGAGAATGATCAAATCAATCAGAATGCCACCGAAACTGGCACAAGATGATTACCATATTATGGACAGACCAGAGCAAGTTATTATCCTTCGCCTTAGAACAGGGCACAATAGACTTCGCTCCCACATGTACAACAAATTTAAGATTGGCCAATCGGCCATGTGTACTTGTGGACTGGCACCTGAAACAACAGATCACATCCTTCAAGACTGTCCCATATTCAACGCTTTCAGGCAAAACATTTGGCCAAAAGAGACACTTGTGGAAGTCAAACTTTACGGGCCGCTTAGTGAATTACAAAAGACAGTGAAATTCTTACAAGAGACAGCTTTGCAGATATAGACAATTTATTTCATGCGAACGAAAGAAGAAGAAGAAGACTAACAAAAATTATGATAATCCGTCAAACTGATGGACTGCCTTCAACAAGCGTCATGCTGTAATCTTTAGAATGCTGTAGTTCCATCTGCACACAAATTTAAGTAAATATTTTTTTTATGGTAGAGGAAAGGGAAATGTTGACTAAATTACCTCTAATCTAATAACAGGGATATGGATGAGTTAGTGAAATGAGTTAAAACTATCAATATAAATGCAAATTTGAATACAATAAATGTTAAGACACAGAAAATAACTAAAGTAAATTAAGATGAAACAAAACTTTAAAAAAAAAAACATGCCATTTTGAAACACTTCAACAGACATTTCTTTTGGAAGCAATGTTTTGGCATTAAAAATTAAAAAACTGCCTGTCCTGTCTACCCTTCTGACAGTGGCTAAGTTTGATGAACTATAGCAACTGAAGGCAAATAGTTCTTTACATATGGTGTGACAACATGTGGCTAATTTGTTAAAAGCAATTACTAATGATTATTTCTTTAACAAAAATGCTGAGTTGAGTTAAGAACTGACATCACAGCACTCAGGACATTCCCATATGCGTTCTGTCCTCATCTTCAGCAGTAAGCAAAGAGTTGCAATGCTGATAGTACCAGCAGCAGTCTGATTATATGTCTGTCTTAATTTTCCTCTGAGTGTAGAGTGTCAGCCAGATCCCCTGGTCACTTCCTACTGCACCATTCTCCCCACATAGTAAATATATTTTCATATTTCTGCATTGTTCACTTACTCTAAAGAACCTCGACCTTATCTAGCTTGCTAAGCATCAGTTCATAATCTAATGGTGCAGCACACACCAATCAATCTGCATGTTAATTTCCCAACACATCTGAATGCCCTAGAGAAAATATTCTTCTTCTTCTTCTTCTTCTTGTTCACCGGCTGTGAATTCCGGCGGTAAGTCACAGTTGTTCGTCCAAATCGACTTTTGGCTTTTACCTTGACCTGAGTTTTGCGTGTACATCCGTTTTACTGGCTTATTTGTTTGCAGTTCTCGTTCCCCGCCTCTCCGGCAGAGAGAAAATATTCAAAGCATGCTAACTACAGGGGACTTCTCAAGCAGTTCTCGCCACCCCCAAGTCTCATATGCTTTGTAAGTCCGGTTCAATAATGAGATGTGTTAACAGCTGGTTCTCAAGTCAGCGGAAAGCTGCTGTGACTGCCTACACCTCCATTCTTAAACAAGATGCAGTGGTATCATACCCTAGACTTTGTTGTACCAAGCAAAGTCCATTCATTTTTGCAATGAATCCTCTGAGGCACTTTCTTCGCGTGTCACAAAATGTTAAATCACGGTACAGAACAAAGTTTCAGAAGCTGAACATCTTTAAGAAACAAAAAGTGAAGACAAATATTTCAATACTTAACAGAACAACGCTGGGTGGGTAAGAAACAAAGAAGAAAAAAAAAACATACATTGCACAGATGGTTCGATCTTCAAATGGAGGCTACTCAAAAATATTGGTTTGCATTCATAAAGCATGGGGATTTTTTTTTAAAGGTGAGGCAGCCAAAGATAGAAATTGAAATCTTCTGGAAAGTAAAAAGAGAGTGATGCAGAAATTACCACATCATCCACCGAATGGCTAAATCTATATAGATATATATATACCCAATATGCTTCATAGCACAGAAATGGGTTCTTCACTTTTTTTACTATAATACTGAGACAAAGTCATCTTTATGGATATAGTTACTCTGTAAACAAAATGAACATAGAATAATAAGCAAAGCTTGGGGGCTGAGGGTTAAAATAAGATTTCAGCTGTTATTTACTCACATTTGCTCTCTTAATAACCTGAAGCAAATTAATTGAAAGCTTTCCTACAATAAATCAGGAAGGGTAAGTTTTTCACATTTTTTTTTTGTTTGCATTAGAAAAATGCAACAGACAAAATAAAGCAGTAGCCAAAAAAAAAAAAAATTTACTTTGTTTGGAAACAAAAGAACAAAACATGCAAAGTCAGCAACAATTATGTGTGCAGTTATTATGTCTTTTGCAATAGTTCTGACTGAAACATAATGACAACTTCTGCAAAATATGAACATCAAAGAAAACTGGTTTATACCCAGCATCATATTCTGGATATTAAAATATTCTGATGGAAAAAACAAACATTAAAGGAGTTTAAGAAAGAGCAATGCTGAAAATCATAATTTCCCAAAGAAATTAGCAGGAGCTGACCAGCATTAAGATGGACACAAGATATTAAAGACACTGTGGTAATGACAATGCATCAAACAGGGGAAGTGACAAGGGATGAAGTGTCTTTTCAGCTTGCCGAGTTTGTATCAACATGTTGCAAAGGATCTGCTGCATGATGATATGGATTCTTCTTCTTCTTCCCTCTATCCTCAGTGGGGCACAGACTTTTAAGCAACTCATCCTATCCTTTGTTATCATATGCTGATCACTCTATGACTTCCTCATCTTTTTAACTTCACTCTCTGGTCCCTTTTCCATGATTTTTTTTTTTTTTTTGTTTACTTTTATTTCTATGCCCTTGGGGGGTTCCAGTTGAAAGCCTTCTAGATATATTGTTTTCAGGTTTTCTCAAAATGTGTCCAATCTAATACCACCATCTGGTATTCACATACCAGATTCAAATATTCAGCATCTGGAACTCACCTCCCGACTCACAGGAAGTTGCTCAGTTCTCTCTGAAAGCTTAACATTAGTGATTCTTTCACACCATTTATCTATTTTGCTCAGGCAACAGTTAATGAAGGTTTATATTTTATTGGTAACTCTTAACTTTTCTTCATTCCCGTTCCATAGAGCAGTACCGATTTACATTAAACATTTTAAGTTTAGTACTAGTTTTAATTTCTTGACTTCCACAAGTACGATTACTTCTGTTATGTTATTTTCCGGTGTCTCCCGTGAGCATTCTTCATAAGTAAATTTGGTTAACAGGGTTACAATTCTCCTTCTTACATTCCTGAACACCATGAAGGCCAAGAAGCAGAGAGATTAGTAATTCAGGGCAAGCAAATTGCATAGGTATTCATAGTGAGTTCAACAGTGAAAAACCATTATGGAGCTGAAAGGTGCCTTTGCTGTTATAACTAGCAGCCAGCAGCCTCACAATGGAAACGATGGCTGTAACAAGGACACTAAAATAGCTGGTTCACACACACACATAAATACTTGGTGACTCAATGAATATGCTCAAAAGAATTCAGGCTGGATTCATTAGATAGAATGAATTGGGTTACTAAGCACTTCAGGAATGACTGGCATAACCTTTAACTTTGTGCCGGGCCATGCTGGTGTTCAAGCGACAAGTGTGCAAATTATGGCTGGTCTTGTACTGGACATAAGCAATGTTATCAATGCCACGTGCACTGAATACAAATACAGCAAAGGGAATGATACCATATCTGTCTAGAGTGAGGGACTGCGGGGTGAAACCTGCAGCAGCAAGAAATTAACATTTCACTAAGGGGACAAGAAGTTCACTAATTAAAACAGAACAGGTGTCATCAGTCATTGTGCAGCGTTTGAGGAGGAGGTCAGGGCACCTATGGACCTACAATGAGTGCTGTGAAGATAATCTTCACTAATCACTAAGAAAATTTATAGATGGAGTTAACAAATGAAACTCAATAATATAACCATGCAGCAAGCTAACGGGCGAGCACTATCTTAACAAAGTATACAAAATAATCATCAATAAACACAAATGTAAATCTTCACACATAATGCCATAACTCACCTCCTCTTTAGTTTGACTCATAAGGTTACCTCCCTGAGTAAAGAAATACAAGCGGTCCCATTTGGTAGACAGGAGAACCTGCTTTCTATTGAGAAAATTTACAAATAAAATGTCACAAAATTCACTTTTACAGTATTGAAATCACATTAAAGAAATTACCTCACTAAAAAGGAAAAAAAAAAACGTTTAGAAACCACATAATACAATAACATCATTATCTCGCATCTTCCTTTTTCCAAAGTTCAGTAGACTTAAAATTTTTTTACACTAAGATACTCATATTTTAGCATAACCATCCATTACAAATCCAGGAAAATCTGAAAAATCGGCATCGCTGCATTGGCCTGCCCCTGACAGACCTAGTTAACGGTACTGGTTCTGTTAACATCTGCACAGTGTAGGATATGATTATATTTACTAAAAATCATTTCTGGATTTCAAGGTGTTTTTGTGGGATAATCATTAACACTGAGGGAGTTCTGAAGATCCCGGGTTCGAGCCCTGGTGAAGGCTGGGATTTGTTCAATGTGGACTTCTAGTAATTTTCCCTGGTCTCTGGATAGTAAGATCAGACGCTCATGTGTACTGTTGCGCACGTAAAAAATCACTTGGCAGTTGGAATCTGCTGCCTGTGATTGTGGAGCAGAAAGACAGACCTCTGGGCACATACTACAGCACTGCCCTTACCTCTCCCAGCAAAGACTGTGGATCTGGCCCAAGGGAGCCAGAAAGAGAAGCTATGGGGGACCGGTGGCGACCTTAAACGCACAATCCTATTTGTGACCCAGACGGGACTCAATGTTTAGCATGACTGATGTCGAACGCAGAAGAAGAAACTTGGCAGTTGGAAATTGAAAAGAGTAGCCTAACAGCGCTGCCCGGGGACAATTTTGAGTTAAAAATCTACCCAAAAGTATTTCAGGATCCTCGCCGGTGCTGCGGAGTGCTTGAGTTAGAAGTAGAAAAGAGCACTTATGGGTTACTACCTTTGTGCCACAATGTTGAGCCATCGTCTAAACCTAAACCTAACCTAAACTTAGCATTGAGGTCACGAGACTGTGGTATTAATTGGGATATACATTTTTTAGGCCCAAATGTGGGGGTGTTTACAGTCAACAAAACTGTTTTTTTAATTGAGGTCATTTTCCTCTTTAGCCTTTAGTAATCACTAGCAGTGAGGTCATGGGGGTCATGGTATTGTTTTAGGCCCAAAGGAGTGTAGTTGTGTAATTTTCTGCAGTTTGTGCTTTTTTTCTTTAAATTATCTACCTTATATATTTCTAAATTAATTTTGAAAATGTATCAAAATACAATTTAAAAAATGTATTAGTAATCTGTATAAACTGTAACATAAAGCAACATGAGGTTCCCCCCCCCCCCCCCCCCCCCCCCCCCCCCCCCCCCCCCCCCCCCCCCCCCCCCCCCCCCCCCCCCCCCCCCCCCCCCCCCCCCCCCCCCCCCCCCCCTCCAAGAATTACTGTGTGTAGATATGTATGGGTACAGAGTCTTTTTTTTTCCCAAAGGATTTCTAGGACAAAAGGGTTAAGATCTGAGGTATATATGTAAATCAATTAATGAAACACTTGTCTCCATTTTAAACTTTCTGAATCATATGTACAGAAACAGAACAGTCGCACAAATTTAGGTTTACTATTTTAGTTTCAAAATTTAACATGCCACTAGCAACTAAGGACTCTCCTTTAAAACCATTTCAGTAAAGAAAAGTAACTCATTAAATGTCGCAGGCTTTTGTCCTTGAATTAAACAAATTATTTTGTATGTTTTCTTACTTGTTTTTTTACATTTGGCTTCACAAACTAAAGAAGTCAGGCATCCAGGAAAATTCCATTGTCCAAGCATTCTTCTGTGATTCTGATGTCTTCTATTGGACATCTGCCATGAAATTTTCTGGTACTTCAAGAGTGAAACAAAGGTGAAAGGTCAAGGTGAGAGGATCGACATCATGCACCAGGTTTTATCTCATGTGGTTCAGTCTCTCTTCACAGAACAGCTAGCTGCCTGCAGAGAGAGTCACACAGAGCACAATCTCCTTAGCTTTTGTGACGATACCCATAAAAATTGCACTCGTGAACTGAATGACGCGCCATTAAATGAACCCACAACTTTCAGAGCGCGAGGCAAATGGCTTGACCACTTCGCCATGGCAACCCCCAAGAGTAAAATGAATAATACAGAAATAAGCCTCTCCTTTAGAAATATAAATGTCATTGAGCACCTACCCACGACAATACAGATAGCCAGCCTTCTGTGTTAAATTAGTATTGGGCGGAATGAAAGGCATATCGATCGGTGGCTCTGCATTATACATGTGCTGACTTTGCTTTTCAATAGAATCTATTAGTTCCACAGTTTTTAGAGTCTCTTTCGTCAAATCTGCATGCACACTGAAAAATAAAATATATATTAATATTGTAATCTTATAATATGAAGACATTGGGTGAAATATGCATCTTAAAAATAAAGAGTTGGATATATCATACAATATAAGAAGTTTTGTGTACAAGATGGCATCCCAATGAATGATTATTTGATTCTAGAATTGGGAATAAGTGTTTAATAACTGTCAGCAACTACTGCATCTATATGCAGATTAGTAATTAGAAAGGATTATCCTCACAGCACTCCAGACAGATCCATAGGCGCTCCGATCTCCTCCTCAAAAGCTCCACAAGTGTAAAACAACTGATGATGCCTGTTCTGTGTTGGTTAATGAAACGTCTTGTCCCCTTAGTGAAATGTTCATTTCTTGCAGCTCCAGGCTGCACCCCCATGTCCATCAGTCTAGACAGGGTTAGAGAGTCATTTCCTTTGGTGTGCTCCTCGGTACCGTAAGTGCAGCACATAGCATTGATAACATCACTTCTGTCCAGTACTGGACAAGCCATAGCAAGGTTAGGGCAGCTATTAGTGTTGCAATCCATTCAGTACATATGCTCAGGAAATCTTAAAGTGATGAATTCTCATATTTTAGCTCCTCCCAAGTTGCTGTAATACTGCTTTTTAACTTTTAACTCACTGTAACATAAAACAACATGCAGGGTTTTTGTTGTTGTTTTAAATTCATTATAAATAATAAATAATACAATATTGTAAACAAACATACAACAGCACATTAACTATCTAAGAGTTAATAACAACTATCTCCTAGCAGTGCAAGCTTTCATAATCTTCCTAAATTATTTATTTTTTAACAAATTTCTTCTTACATTAGCAAATCTGGAACACTTGGTTTTTGCTCCACAGAGAACACAATTTATTTTGGTTCAGAGCACAGGCTATATATTCTTTTCTTCTTTTTGTCCTTAAAGGATGGTTGGCAGATTGCGTAGTTTACAGCCAGGCTTTCAGCATAACACATCTAATTCCAGCAAACTCCTAAGTAGGCCCGTTTTACGACATGCTTATAAGGAAATAGCGGTTGAAACCCTCCCCCGCCCCAAATAAATGAAAAACCTTCCACAATCAGACCATGGGTTTACAGGACGACTGCTGCCATTGGAAACTGGATGTTATCAAGGCCCTTTAGGAGTGAGTGAAAAGTGTAGAGGCACAAACAGATCTTTACAGTCTGAGAATGGTGCAGCAGGAAGTTTGTGTTTATTCAACAGATCAACATCATGGCACACCGATGTAACCCATAAGTGCTCCGTTTTGCTACTAACTCAAGCCTGAGTCTGAAGAATCTCTGCGCAGTGCACGAACTCTGTTGCGAGGATCCTAAAAAACTTTGGGAAGATTTTTAACTCCAAATTTTGCACAGGTAGCGCCGTTAGGCTACTCTTTTCGATTTCCAACAGTGAAGGGATTTTTTACATGCGCAACAATACACATAGGCATCTGGTCTCACTACTCAGAGACCCGTGGGAAATTAATAGAAATCCACGTGAAAAAAATCCCCGCCCCCACCAGGGCTTGAACCCGGGACCTCTAGCACTTGAGGTGGACACCATGCCTCAAGACCACACAACCCCCTTGCATCAGGGAGTGACCAAGGGATCTGGCCACCATTCAACACTCAGGGGAGAGACAAGATGCATATAAAATCTGACTGCTATTGGAATTTAGTGCTGGCTGCTGAAAGAGCTCTTATATGAATGTCCAGAGTGCTATTATGCTGGTTCCTAACTCAGCTCATGTTTAGCTTCCTTTACCCATTCATTCCTTTGCTACTGGGTTCAGTTTTTTTATATCTAGTTTTCTATAATCCATTCAGCCTCTTGCTAGTGTGCTTTCCTTTACATAATTTAGAGATGACTTACGACTGTACACTGCTGCCAATGTTTCCCAGAAAGTCTTCCAGTTCTGGTCTCAGTACGATGTCTTGCCCCATCTGAAAGCAAGCTCGCTGAGCATGCAGATACCCCATTATTGGCTCAAGCAGGAAGCATTTACGTTTGTACTGAAGGGCATTTAGCGATGAATAATAGTGGAGCGCTGTCTGAAAAATGATGACAAATGACATACATACTGAAAGGCATTCACCAGTGAGTAAAAGTAAAGAGATGTCTAATTAAAAAAAAAATATATGTTTACATATTTAATTGCATTTGTTGAATCATATAACAGAATGCCTGTCACTGTCTCTTTTGAAAAAATGTAAACAGACTACAGTCTCAGTAAAGTCAATAGATTACACATGCATTAAATTCGTAAGGCATCCAAAATAAATAAGAGTATTATGACTAGAGAAATTTGAAAGGCAATTTTTTCATTACTCTTCCTTAGCAACTGATTAACTCCCTATCCCAATGTGACGAAATGACCTCAGTGGTCTCAGAAGTTATATTGTGTTTAATAATTTCTTATGTTCAGAGAAGGACAAAGAATTATAAGCAATAGACACTGAGCCCAAAATATTTCTAAATCCACCACAAGGGATTTGAAAATTGTTTAAACTGCGTTTCCAATCTCTAGCCAGACAAAGCAACCTCGCTTTATGTGATATTACCTAATACTACTGTAGCTAGAGTTTCACCTGCCTGTGTCAGAATGGTATCTCCTGACCAGACTGTAGAGGCGAGGAAGAGGGAAATAACTAGTGTCACACTTGAGATTAGCTGCCCTGAACCCGACCGTAGTGTCATAAAAGTTACATAACACAGACTGAGTGGGGCCTTTGAATGACTAGATCAGGGGAATTAAGTGGTCTGGTAGACATTTCTAGACAGGATGGTGTCCAGCGTCTGAAGTTTCACACAGGATAGTGAAATTCTCAAGAGAACAGATGTTTGGCAATTAGGAATGTCTAATCTTGGTCAAGGTCGTACTGTAGGCCGTTCACTGTGAGTGACAGGCCCATTGATAGCTAGGTTGATCTGCTAGGTACCTCAGAGGCGGGGCGTAGGTCATCTCCTGGAGGGTTGGGTAGAACCTAGTAGAGGGTGGAGTTTAACCTTGCCGACAGATAGAGGTATTAATAATACTAGCCTGTGGAATTCCCGTCATAATCGCAGCCACGAGCAACAAACTCAGGTCACAAATTAGAGGTAATTCTAATTGTTGATTCTGGTTTGGCGATTGCTGGAATATCCCAGGTAAGCTTGTACAATTATTTGCAATCTTGTCTACATAGGTTAGGGAGTTAGCTATTCTACCTTTTCCTAATTGTTCTACACATTCTGCTTGAAATAGTTCTTTGTGAGTATTCAGTATGTCAGTTAGGGAACTGCTAACCCATTTCTATTTCTTGTATGTTTGTGGCACATGTTTTTCAGTGTGTGTTTTCATGTTTATAAAATAATACTTGTATACTGAAATTATAATGTTTCAACCATCAACCCAAACATGAGTTTGAACTGTGGGAAATGATGCCCACATATGCAGCTATGCTGTTACGTTTTGTGTGCCCACCATGTGCTCACCTAATGTGTTCACCTAAACAGGGGATTTATAACCCCAGGGGAAGAATCATGAGTGTATATTATTCACTGTCACTGAAAGATAATATTCAGGACAGCATGCTCGTATAAAATGTTTGGCGTGTTCAGCACATAACCTGCGCCACATGTTTATGTCAAATCAATGTCAGCAAGTTGGAAGTCTGAGTGATGACGGACAACAGAAAGTCAACTATCATGACAGAACCTTAGAGGGAAGGCAGGATATGTGAGACGTCGGTGTGAGACACAAAGACCTTCAGAACAGACTGGAGAGAATGTGGAATATGAGGAGGAGTGATGAGATATAATGTATTATTATATATGGTATTAATTGACACATGTATTCTTAGTAAGTCAAGATACTACACGTATGTGTTTGTTTCCATTATTGCAGCTCCCATGTGGGTGAGGATCAGTCTTTTCTAAGAACAGAAATAGAGGGTCATCACGGTCACGAGACTACATTGTGTTAGAACTCGGCCAGCTGGGATACAGGTGGGAACCAGGGAACCAGGTGGAAGGACCAGGAGAACTGGGCGGAAAGATTGGAACAGCCAAGAAGGGACTCAATACGAGGACTCTCAGAGGTTCCACTTTCTAAAAAGTTATGTAACATGTATTTATGTAACTAAACACCACCATTATCATTTATTCTTAGGGGCTCAGTTATCAAGCTGAAGTATCCCATTACCACCATACCATCACTATTGACTAAAAATATAAATAAATAAAATGATTGCTAGGTTAATAAATCAATTATATGGTCTTATCCTGCATCAGTTTTTATAATTCCAAGTGTGTCTGTTCTTACATGTTTAATTAAACTGTTAAGATAGAATAGCATTTGGTGGGGCCTCATTAAATAATATTTCTTTACCAAGAGAAGGTCGACGGATTGGGTCAACTGCCCTGTCTAGTAAATCATTCAAAATAATAATATATAGACATCTAAAACCCATTTCCTTCTCTTGTGGGTACCAAGTTCAGCTAAAGTTAATATAAATAACGAGCCAATATGGCTGCTTTCTTGGATATCCAGGACTTTGTCTGAGAGCAACATAGCCCGGATAATAGTTCAGTTAATCTGGTGGAGGGGATGTGTTGAGAGGAAAATCCCTACTCAACATATAAATCATTTAAACCCAAATCCAGAGAACCCACGACTCGGGACGTCACACTAAAAGTGTTGTAATTTCCAAGGAAGTGGGCCGCAACGTCAGACCCAAATGCTTTGTTATTTAGCCAATCTCTGTCTCAGATCTTGATTTGATCTGTTAAAAATCAACAACATAGCCCACTGAGAATATTGGTAGATGCTCCATCTTAGTAAATATACAGGGTAAGTCAGAGATATGACTACCTGTTAAAAATAAATGTTTAACTTTTATTACAGAAGGAAATAATGGACGGTTCTAAAACTTGAAATGGTGAGCAGTTTAAGGCTATTAAATGGGAAAGAAAACACAGACTGTACAATTGATTGCCTGGCATATTTCACTGTATTTTTTCAGGTGCATACTACAGTAATAATGAAAAACATAATAATGCAACTAAATAAATTCTTTATAAATGAAGTAGAAAATCAACCATTCCAAATTATCTGCATCTTGTTTGTTCAAATTTACAACTGGGAACAGTGCTCTGACTTAGTATTGTTGTGTATTTTTAGTTGAAAGAAAACGGTTTGTCACAGATATGTAATGAATGCTAAATTATTTAATTGCTGAACTACAAATACATATATATATATATACTTATTGTGACATGAGTCTAGATTTACGTAAACTACTACTTCTTGTGTTTGCGTGAAATAGTTTATATCTGTAATGCTGTCTCTGCTATGAATTTTGCTGTTTTTTGTTTTGTTTTCTTTTTGTGTAATTCACTCAGTGGCCCGTAAAGTTTGGCTTCCTCAGGTGTTTCTCTTGGCCAAAGGTTTTGCTTTAAAATGTTGTATCTGGAATAGTCTTGGAGGACATGGTTTGTTGTTTCATGTGCCTATCCACATGTGAGCATAACAGATTCACCCATCTTAAATTCTATGAACATGTGGCTGTAAAGTCAACTGTGCCCAGTTGTCAGGCATAGAATAATAATTTGTTCGGGTCTATCCATAATACAGTAATAATCTTGTGCTAGTTTTATTTGTTTTTCTGATTGATTTTATAATTCTCTTCTTCTGTTGATTAGAGACTGGTACATCAGGTTGTTTTTCATTTGCATCTTCGTTAGATAGTTTATCAGCACTCTCATTTCTAGGAACCTCACAGTGGGATGGTATCCATTGAATAGCTACCTTATGTAGGTAAACTGACGCTTGTGGTGAGTCCAGTCCTTAAACTTCTTCTTAATAAATTATCATTATCATAAACCACTTTTGCAATAAGGCGTCATGGGTAGGAACAATTTGTGATCCAGTTCGCGCTTGATGCCACTTGCTATTGTCATGCTGTGAAGGCCTAGAGTGTCTTTAATGTTGTCAGTCCATTATTCACTGTTGTCCTCTTGCTCTTGTAGCTGATCTTCTGAGATGTAGTGCTTGTGATGGTATCTGATCTTGCTGCATTCTAACGAGATGGCCAAACCCCTTGATCTGCTGTTTCTCAATGAATCTAGTACTAGGTGTCGTGCTCACAAATCTGTCTGACAGTATCATTATTCACTCAATCTTGGATGATTAGGTTGGCGGCTTTTGTCAAGCATCTTATCTCAGAATAAATTATAAGATACTAAATCTACAGCTAGTTAATGGAAGAAAATGTATGTTTTCTTAGTTGCTACAAAAGTCTAATATTCTTCTAGACATATACCAATTATTGTACATAAACAATCCCTTTAACACTGTCAGTCCAGGCAATGAAAAGTAGTTAAAATAATAACAGTTAGTTAATTGACAGATCATCCTCGCTGCATATCGAACCTGTTGTTCCATAACTGCTCACATCCTCTCGTACTGACTTTTTAACCCCACAAGGACATCACAAAAGTGATAAACACCCGGTGACACAAAGTGCCACCATGTAGACGAGGATCACCCATAGAGAGGTCACAGAAACCCTTTAAGCTGTTAGGCCATATTTATGGCTTCAAATAATGAAAATTGCGCCCCATATGGGGACGATATCCTCTCCTCATTTAATCCCATAGCATGTGGTGGTTGTTAACACCAGTTCTGTGTGTGGCTTATTATTATTCTTTAGCTCCCTGCATAGTGCCACATCCCTTTTAACTAGCTTTTTGTAGTATGACCAAGGTTGCAGATTTAGTCAACACCCAGTTATCACAAACCTCTTACTTCTCATACAGCATTCAGTGTATCAGCCTGGTCCACTGTTCACCCACACTCCACCAAATCCTTACCTGCAAGCCACAGCTAATTTCCCTGTACACCACCTGCATGTACTGGCATGAAAATAAACTGTATCTTTGTTAGCCGTGACTGACCACCTCAGAAACACCAACCCCCATCTTTGGGCCCTAAACATCTCTAACTTTATGAGCATACTCACTGAGTCCATGAGAAAGCATGCCTGAGTGAAGGTCTGTGCCCCCAGAGTTAAATTAATAATTCACATATGCGTTCATATAAAATCTGTTTGTGATAAATAAGAACACCAATTATCTTTGCAATCACCAAGAAAGCAAGGTGAGGTGTCTGGTACTGAAAGATCAAAGCTTTACCTGATGAAACTTTTTTCTGTTTGCATAGAGTTCCTCATTTACTTCAACCCTGGACCTGTCATCTTTCTTCATGGGATGCTTCATGTATTTGGCGAGACTCTGCTCATGATCTAAACAAACAAAACATTGTACATAAAAATGTCAGAATCTATGAGGAACAAAACACTAACAGTAAGCATCCTACATAATGCTCTTGTCCGGCTTCATCTCTTTGTATGTGGTGTTTTTGCAATCTGGTAAACGTTGTGCATTCACAATTATCACTTGATTCTTTTAATCACCCTGCCACTCTGATGTCATTCAGAATATCAGCCCGGCCCACTGACTGTTTACTTTCCACAACAGGCCTGTCAGCATGCTTAACAGCTTATTTATATCCTCTTATGTTGCATGCCCAAAAATGAAACTGATTTGTGTCATCTGTCTTCTTTTTCTTCACGTTCACTAGCTGTAAACTCCGGTGAAAAGTTCTGGTTGTTCGTCCACTTCTGAACTTTAGTCTTGTTCTAGAACTTGAGTTTTGTGTGCAAATTCATTTTAGGAATCTGGCTTATTTGTGTGCAGACTGTTAGTTCCTTGCTGTTTAGGCAGATGCACTTTGACTTTGAAGAAAGCGTTACTAATTCATCACCTTCTATGACATGCTTGTTAGGGGGTAGTGGATCTATTCCTTCTACCCCCCCCCCCCCCCCCCCAATCACTTTTGTCTAAAGAGACTTACTCTGCAAGGCAGCAGAGGTTATTATGGGAGAGGTTATGGTGCCTCTTACTCGCCGATGGCCATGTCATAGAGTTTAAAGTTTAAAGTTATTGTATTTAAAATATATAATATGTTAATGAATGTATGAATCAAAAATTGAATCACTGGTGTGTAACAATAATTTGCACTAACTGGGAACTCAAATTTTACAGTTCAACTGACAACAATTACTCTGCTGTCTTCACAAAGAAGGGGCTATTAATATCAGTCAACTAAGTAAATTGAGAACCACGGGGGTGTAGCCACAGTCATGTAGCCGCTAGATGCTCGCCTGTGAGACTGTAGGTGATGGGTTCAAATTTGCACTGAGTCATATTTATTTTTTAAAAATGACCTTGGCTTCCATGTTGACTCTGCTTAAAATGGGTTTGAGTTAGAGTCCTGGGAAGTAAAGGCAGTCGGCATGATTTTGACCACATCAGCCACCAAGTGCTGATTGGTCTATAAAATATAGGTCTAGTACTCGCCATAGTCTGCTTACCAAGCCCTCATTTGGATACCACAGGGGAAAAGATCTTGTGGAAGACCAAGGGAAACCCTACGTAGAACTATCATCAGGGAAGGCTCACTCATGGGCCACTCAAACATCCAAGACCTACAACAGATTGCAATGAACCGCCATGCATGGAGAGTCATGACCTCTGCCCTATGTGCCGCACTCGACACAAGAGGAAAGACTAACTAACAAACTAACTAACTCGCCATATATCTAATATGCCTAAGGTTATTAAAAAGGATCCTTTAGTTTACATCAGTAAGTAAGTAAAGATCCCTTTTCACGCCTCTAGGCGAATCGGGCATATGGGAAGATTGCCCATGTTTTTACAGACCATCTGCACTAGGTGGATAATGTGGTCAGCATTACGCCGGCCGTCTTTACTTCCCCAGGACAGCTATCCCGGTACACATTTTTTAGGCTGGGTCGATCTGTGATGCCCCATACCATGATAAAAATTCACACAGCCAGCAGTGGGTTTTGATCACGGCACATTGGACTTACAAGTCGGACTCGCAACACCTAAGCCACGGACGCCAATTACTTTACATTAGGTAGATTATAAATGAGATATACCAACTTATAACAGTGCAAAGGTAAATATGATTAAATATGTCAATATGATTTTGAATACAAACTTACACTATAACACCCTTTCTCAGTAGCCAGACAAGGAATTCCCATAGTGATGGTGCCAGCTGCAAACTGATTGAAAGTTTGTCGGTTTTCCCCAAGCAGGTAGAAGAATCACCCAGAATGTCTGCACACTTTCTGCTGAATCATTCTCCCAAGACCAGAGCCTCTGCTCACTTTCTGCCGAATCCTTCTCCCCCAGATAAGGATGCTCTTTCTGTTCTGTTGAAGTGTTTATCTGATCTCTGAGATCCTTTACCCCGTTCACTTTATCATAAAGTAGCTCATTGATAACAGGGGTGGCAGCAGTTAATCTATCAGCCTGCTCATTGTCATGAACACCTGAATGTCCTAGGCAAAGAACCCAAGATATGCTTCTTATTCTTCTTATCGGAATAGTATGAAGCAATGCAAGTACTGTTCTGAGTGCAATACATCTGTTTCTACTTTCTGAAGCTAGCTCTATGAGTATAATATGTTAATGCATAAAGTACATTCTAAGATACTATGTTAGTCTAACCAGAAAATAATGATCACAACAGTAATATTAATATTTAAAATTACCATGTGTAGCTTGCTGGAACATCTCATACATTGTGCTGATTTCTGAAATAAAGCATAAAAATAATTAACATGATGAAATCTGTGAGATTAAAACAACTTGGCCAAGCCACACAAAAAGATCCAGAGAAAAATCTAAGGTTCAATAGCAAAAGGCTATGGGGAAAAAACCTACAAGATGATGAAGATACAGAGTATATCATCAGGTATGTATCCTGACTGTTGGTATCAAATGTTCTAGCCATTCAAATATTTAGCTCTTAATCTTCCCTTGTCCTTCCTATAAATCTGCTGGTTGTGCCAAATTTTTCAAGTGTATTTTTCCTCAGAAATCATGCCCACAAATGGTTTTTGCTTATGTATTTTCTGAAATCAGTTTTCAGTTCTCTTGTATTACGGTCTAAGGAGAATGGCTGCGAGGAGTTACCAGGGGATCTGGCTGAGGCTCAACACTCAGGGGAAGGATGAGACAGATATACAATCAGACAGTTACTGGTACCATTGCTTGCTGCTGAAGATGGGGACTGAGCACTTATGGGAGTGTCCTGAGTGCTGTGACATTGATTCTTAATTCAACATTCAATTCTCATGTTTTTTTAAGGCTCTCTTGTTATTTTGTTTCTGTCCATCCATGAATTTTGCATTTTCCTCATAAACTATATTTCTGCCACTGTTAGATATTTTTCAGCTTGTGTGCTTTTTTGTGCACAATATACCATCACCATCCATTACATGTCACATAGAGCTCACAATCTAGTCATCCATTCCATTCCAACATATGCAATCCTTTTGATTTGATACAGTATAAAAAGTTAGTTGCATATCTTTTAGAGCAGACATGTCAAACTGGTGACCCGCGGGCGCATGCGGCCCATGGTACACACACCTGTGGCATGCATGGAAAAAATACAGTAGAATGTTGATTATCTTGCTTTCGATTATCTGGACTCTACATTATCCAGCCCAGTCACACACAAAAGTATTTTCAGTAATGAAGAGGGAAGAGGGCAAAATGCCTGAAGCAGTCATCTCAAGGATGGTTTTAAAAACTAAAAGTTTTAACTCTTTCTTCACAAATCGACATGTTTTTAATGATATGAGAGTGGTAAAAACTGAGTTTTTATGAAACTCTGGAATATCCAGTTTTTAGGCCAGACACTGCAGAGTCTACTGTATTCTGCCATCATTTTTATTGAATGGCTCTGAAATAGTTGTCGTGTGTCCCATGCGATCCATGTGTCCCTCATGACGACAGAATGCGACCCATGTAGCTCTCATGATGACAGAATGCGACCCATGTGTCCCTCATGATGACAGAATTTGACCCATGTGGCCCTCATGATGACAGAATTTGACCTATGTGGCCCTCAGAGGACCCTCAGTTTTACATGCCTGTTTTACAGGACATTGCAAACCAACCCCAGCATTTGTTGGCTGTTTTGAGGTTCTACTGATCCATTTTACAATCAGTAGTTTACCACTGCTTTCTTAATGGGTGGCCTCTTTTCATCATCATGTAGCAGGTCCTTTGCAGAACGTTGCTCTCATCACAGTCTGCCTGAAAGAAACTCGGTCTCTCGCCAGTTTTCCCGCCTCATGCATTTTCACACTCAAGGAGTCACTTATATCCTGTGCCCATCTTCGTGTTGGCCCCTGCCCCTCCTTCCTGGTATAATGCCTTCTGCTATAATTGTTTCCAATCCATCGTGGCGCTTGATATGAACACAATTTTTCAGCTTTTGAGAAAGGATGCTGTTTATTAGTCAATCTTTCTTGATGTTCAGATCTTCTAAGATGTCAATATTTCTCATCTTCTTCGTCCAAGATATTCTGAGAATCTTTCTATAGCATTTCAGCTCAAGAGCCTCTATTCTCTTTCTTAAGAACTGAGAGATAGTCTACGACTCACATCTGTATGTAGCCCCAGGGAAGATGCATGCTCTCAAAATTCTAATTTTGATCTCCTTACTGGTGCTTAACCATAGACTTTTAAGGCTGTTCAATCCTTGCATTGCTATGGCCATCCTCCTTTTAATTTCTGTTGAACAGTCTCCATTGTTGTTGATTATAGAGCCTAGATATTCAAAGTTTGGGACATTTTCAATTTCTTCATCATTTATTGTTATTTTTGGGTGACAGACAGTTTTATCTGTGGACATCATTTTCTTTAAATTCAAGAATAGATTTTGATCTTCACTGTGCTTTTGGACAGCCAATATTACATTTTCTATTCCCTTTACACTGTTCGAAAGGAGGACTGTGTCATCTGTGTAGCGAAGTTCCGGAATAAAGTTGCCACCAATTTTGAGCTTCCATGATGTGTTTTTTGGGATAGTAATGTGGTAGTTTCCCGTTGCTTTCCACATCCACATGGCTTTAGACCATGTCCTCAGCCTTCAGCAACCTTTTTGATTGCTAGGGCAAGTGAGTGCCCTGCTCTGTGATGCTCCTGCTAACAGCAGAGGGCACCCCAGAGGTGTCCACTTATCCCAGCGGATACTCAGTCCCTATAGCTGCATTGGCCACACCACTGTGTGTTTACCGTCCTCTACCGCGTGGAGGTGCAGTTGGGGTTTCCCCTTCACTGAGTCTCGAGACCAGAATGGCATTTCCCAAAACTCTCCAGTACTTTCAGAGGCCTCTTATACCACTGACAAAATTACTGCAAAGCAATTTGCTGCCAAATCGTTTGCAGTTAGAATCAAATGGGGTATTTCAGAATTACAAAGTGTTCACAACCCCTAGCCACACATGATGAGGATACAGTAAAGACACATATTATTAGGCAATGACTGAGTGTTAATATACATATTTTTAAAGAGGAATATTCCAACCTATTAAAGGTAGGTAGGTAGTTGTACTCATACAAACGATAAACACCCGGTAACACAAAGTGCCACCATGTGAATGAGGATCAGCCGTGGAGAGGTCCCAGAAACCCCTTTCAGCCGTTAGGCCAAATGTATGGCCCAGCTATATTCAGGGCCCCCGGCAGAAGCCAGGGTGAGGCTTCAAATAACATAAATTGCATCCCACATTGGGATGACTTTTATAACCTATTAAAGTTAATTTAAGCTACCACCTGCGAGATGAGGTGCCTGAGAAAAGCAGCCAACCTAACCATCCGAGATCGAGTGAATAATGAAACTATCAGGCAAATTGTGGGAACAACACCTTGTACTAGATTCATCGAGAAACAGCAGATCAAGTGGTTTGGCCATCTCGTTAGAATGCAGCAAGATCAAATACCATCACAAGCACTACATCTCAGAAGATCAACTACAAGAGCAAGAGGACGGCCGCAGAAAATATGGATTGACAACATTAAAGACACTCTACACCTTCACGGCATGACAATAGCCAGTGGCAGCCAACGTGCACTGGATCGCAAATTATTCCTCCCCACAACGCTTAACGGCAGAAGTGGTTCATGATGATGATGATGATTAAAGTTAATGTATGAAGGATAACTATACAATGATTTAAATATTCATCAAGTGTCAATGATTGACATAATGAAATACATAAGACTAAGATAGTATATCAATACTATTCTGTTTCAACTGTGTGGATCATAATTGGTTTATACAGTGTCCATTATTATATCAGATTGTGGATGTTTCTGGGTTTTTTCTTTCTGATTCTTTTGCTACCTGGAACTGCATAAATGATGATTAGATTCTGCATGAGTGTAAAAAAAAATAATATAATCTACACAGTATCATAACTGAACAGACTGTGGCAACTGTACCAGCAATGTGTGACCCCAATTCTTCAGGCTCCAGACTCCCTCTGTCTTACACCAACTTACAAAAATACTTCTAAAGGCAGTTTAAAAAATGTTATGAGTTCTTTAACTCTTTCAGTCCCACATCTAGCTGATGTCGGAGAGAGCTTCAAATAGCTATACTAAAACTCATGGGTATACTACTTCCAGAGGGCTAAATATACATTCCTTGAAGGAAATAAATATGTTGTCAAGAGTTCTTCAGAGTTGCTCACTTAATATAAGATATAATAACATACATGCACATTTTGACTGGTACATGCAAATAATACCCAATCCCACATAGTGCGTTATTTGAAACAGAAAGAGTTGGAGAACCAACCCCAGCAGTATTTTCCCTTCTGTTTGTGATGTTTCTAGGCAGTTTTACATTATGTAATTTGCAACTACTTTCTGATTTAATGGCTCTCAGGTCCAGTGTAAAAATCAATGCTAGCTGGTCTGCTGCCCAATCACCTGCAGCTGGGATCAAACACGGCACCTTGGCATTACAAAGAGTGTTAACAATGCCTAAGCCACAGAAACCAACATGCAGTAAAGACGCACATGATTTTAAAAAAACTACATTAGGTGTTCAAAATGATAAGACCATGAAAGAAGACAATGAAAGTATAGCCAGATAACAAAAAACTGGACATCAAGGTCTGAAACAACATTATTGAAATGAGAGTATCACAGAAACATAGTCACCTAGCTAACAAGTTTACTGGCTGGAAAGCTAAGAAAGTAGAAGAAGCAGTTAAGAATACCTTCAAGATCAGCTTGCAGGAACTTGCTCAGCGGATACATCATTGTTTCTGAGAACTGCTGCGCTAAAACTTGCTGGATGGAACTGATCTGTGAAATTAACAACAATGTTAGTAGAATACTGGGGAAATTGTAGGTGGTGCTATATTCTAAAAGAAAAGATCACTGCTGTATAATAAACTGCATGATTTCCAATAACATGGTGCAGAAGAATATGTTGACATCATAATGACAGTTTAAACACAGCTGCCCCAATTCTGACATGCCCCAGAGAGGAGCAGCATTCTATTATTCATTTTTACTACAAGTGAAGGGGTGAACCTACAGAAATTATTCAGCGAATGAAGGTTCAGTATGGTGATGCATGCTGGTCCATCCAGCAAGAGCACGAGTGGCACAGGAAGTTTAAAAATGGCTCCAGTTGACTCTTGCATGCATGGGAATTCCCCGAGTTCTGTGATGTCAATTCTTGACTCAACTTAACTCTGTGGTCACTACATGGTGTGCCTGATCCACACATGAACATTACATCATAGAAGTCACACCATTTTGAAATTTGATAGTTTACAGATCAATGGCATGCTAATGTAAGTTCTATCACACTTTAAAGATTTTCATTTGAACTTGCAGGCAATCAAGTCTTAAATAATGTGAAGATTTAGGGGAGGCTTTTTTGTTTCTTCAATTTACTGTTAAATATTATGAGTTAATAATTTGTATAATTCTCAAGACTGTCTTTGTATTATAAATAATAAAGTAAAATATATATAGATGGATATGAATAATTATAAATGGCATACTTAAAATGGGTACAAACACTAAAATAAAACAAACAGCAGCAGTATGTTACTTTTACAGACACATCCAATACCGCACCACATTTCACAATATCTATCTAAAAAATACACCACACACATATAATATATGTCTCTTTGGAGATATACTCAGGAGGAGATCGGAGCACTTATGATCATGTCCAATGTGTGATCAAGATCATCTTTAAATGAACAATGAACAATATATGTCTTATGGACACAATGTTGAATGTTGAATTAAGAATTGACATCACAGCACTCGGGACGTCCTGAGTTCACTTGCTCCCAAAAAGCCCTCACAACATCCAGCTTGTCATATATCAATTCACCACCAAGTGGTGCAGAACCGTCCAGTCTATCTGTCTGTTCATTTTCCAACACACCGGTATGACCTGGAGAAAATATCCAAAGAATGCTAACTACCCGGGACCTTTGAAGTGATGCCTGCCACTCTGTACGGAGCCTACCTGTCTCAGCCTTTCTCAGCATGTTCTGTGAGTCAGTTACAATGACGGCATATGTGTACAGCTGATTCTCAAGCCAACGGAAGGCAGCAGTGACTGCCTTCACCTCCATTCTCAAACTAGACGTTGTGATATTTATTGACACAGAAAATATCTGATCATCATGCTGCATTGATTTGGACAGAAAGAGTTAAAATACATATTTTAAATCTCTTACAGGAATGGCAGAATTTATTTCAGAAATAATGAAATCAAAACTGTCATTTGTCAGTATAAAACACACACATCTACATACATCATCCAAGTGGGTGGAAAACTGTTTCAGTGTTGATGATAGTACACT